CCCAGCACCTCCTCTGCTCCGCTCCTACACGGCAGCATCCGCCCCGCGGGTACCAAACCGCGCCCGCCCCGCGCAGCCCCCGCATCCCCCCGCCCCGCTCCGCTGCCGCCACCGCCCGGCAGAGCCCCCGCGTCCCGCCCCGCACAGCCCTGCGAACAGCCCGGCGCGGTGCAGACGCACTCCGGTTTATATCGAAATCTTTATTAGAACAATCCCCAAGAACTGTAAAACGGCGAAGTAACAACAAAATTAAGCACTTCCGTTATCAAAGATATTTAAACAATACCTATCTATTTCTGCATAGCAGAAGCAACAGGGTCTAGAGCTCGAACCCTCGTGCTCGTGTTAATTTGGTTTTGGCAAGATAATACAACCTTAAGAGTCACATTAACGAACAGTAACCTCCCTTTCATTTCTTAAACCTCCAAGAGCCATTTTTATGGTTTACTCATTATTTGGGACAAATACATGTGGACATTATGTAGCATAGAGTAACAGACAATTTTAATATTAGTAGCACTAGTGTTACTTGAACATGAAGAGTTACCTAATTGTTTACAGTGCAGTACAAATTACATATTACCTCAAAAATCATTGCCTGTATCAAAAGTTTAAAAATTTAGAACAATTTATAAAACACTTCCATAATAGGAAATTATCAGTCTTGAAATGGAAAATGAACTTTATGCTTATAAACACGCAAATGAATGTATTACAGTAATATATTTGTTAGCTTTATTCCTTCTGTTTTAAGTAGCAAGAGCCCTGTTCTCCCCCCAGTTACACAAGTACAACACACACGTTTATTGTAACCAAAAGCAGAATAGGGCCTACTCCGAAGTCCACTGTAACAGAAATTAAAGCTATTAAAAAAAATCTACTATAAAAAAATGGAACAGTCTTGCATTGTTTTTATTTGATTATTTGCAACACCCAAATTGTCAGGTTTTCTCCCAGACCACACTGTCAACTTTCATGATCTGACAACAGCAACAGGGAAATTGTGTGTGCTGCATCATGCAGTCCAAACACATCTGACATCCTTCCTACAATTCATTTTCTGTCAGTTAATTTGAAATAAAGAGTGTTGGTTTTCCTACCTAGCATTTTCTGGTTTGTGGTCCACATGGTATGAATAAATTTCAAAATGTAACCCAGGTAAAGTAACAGCCAGTAAGGCACTTTGTCTGTGAGGACACAGCTGTCCAGGCTGAGCAAGTGGTCAAAGGGAGACATTCTACGTTACTAAAAACCAGTCAGTTTATTCTTCCTAATCACTTCTCTGACAATCCATTTGTGGAAGAACACTTACTGACTATCCCAGAATCAGCCTGACATTGCATCTGCCAAAATATTTTTCCCGTTCTACAGCAGAACATGCAATAGTAAAATATTTCATTAAATACTAACATCTAAAAGAATATTCAGCATCCTTGTAACACCCAAGAATCAGCTGCTGAATACTATTTGGAAACACCCTCGCTCCTGCAGAAGAAATGATCCCATCTTCTTGTTTCTTTGTTTTGTTTCTGTGGTTTTTTTTTTTTTTTTTTTTTTTTTTTTTTTTTTTTTTTTTTTTTTTTTTTTTTTTTTTTTTTTTTTTTTTTTTTTTTTTTTTTTTTTTTTTTTTTTTTTTTTTTTACAAAATTTGAAGGCTTGACATTAAAACTTTGGTATAAAATATGTAAATGAAAACCATCCAGTAATGTGGTGTAAGGAGATACAATGAATCCAACCCAAACTAAACAGACACGAGTGTGTGGATGTCATGACAGGGGGTGTTTTCTACTGTCTCTTGGTTTCTACATTCTGCTTGTTCGTGATCTTGAGAAGGGTTCTTTCTACTTATGTAAAAGGGTCTTTCTGCAGAGCCACCTGCCTTCCCAAAGTTCCTCCCAGGAGAGAAAGAACCTGGCAGGACCCTGTGACTGCAGGTTCTGGATCCTCCCCTCCCTCCCCTGCAGGCACGGAGCCACCACGGTCAGTCGGGGCTGGCCTGGGCCCCTGCCCCGGGAGGACACTGTGGCAGCAGCCCCGGGGGGCTCAGCAGCAAAGCTCACACCACATACTTGACCGTCTGCCACTCTCTAAACCAAAAAACAAAATTCTGAATTTTATACTAAATCAAGCAACAAAGTCAGTGCCCAAATCCATAAATGTCAATACCATTATCTCCTCAGTGGTGCACACCTGCAGACCCTGACCCACAGGGTTAGTTAGGAACCATTCTAATAAGATAGTCCTAAAGTATCTCAGGTGATTATTTCCCAAGTAAATACTTGCATTAATTTTGACTTAATAATTATTAGCAATTTATTTTTTAAAAGCCGATTTTAATATTAAATAATTATTATTTACTTACTGAATTTATTGATTACAAAATCTACATGGTATTGCTTTGTATTTTCACAGTTCACATAATTATTAAGAAAATGGCTTTTAAATTTTCTTCTCAGAAATGATGATCACTTACATTCTAAAGACTTTCACAAAATAGTGAGAAGAGCAAATTTATACATATATATTTTTTACTGTATATAAATAATAATACAATTTAAAACTTTCACTTTTAGAAATTCATTTAGTAAATGCATAGGTTTGTTACAAAAGTCTTCTAATCAAATAACTGTATACTATTTCTATTATGTTTTATTCTTAGTAAATTCTATGGTTACATTCATATGATAAAAAAGCAAGCTGTATTCAGAAGCTTTTCCAGTTGAGCTCCCAGTAAGATACTCAAGTCCAGTAGAAATATAGATTACTTAATGGAGTTTCTTCATCATCAAATTAACAACATTTTAAAAAATTAAAAAAAAGCTTTAGAACGTGGACTGTGATCAGACCAGCAGCTTCTTTAATCATAGAATGGTGACACATACCCTCAAAAATTACTGATTTAATTTTCAGAAAAAATTAAGATCATAGCAGGGGTGTGTATTCCATGCCATGCACATAATGAGAAAGGACTGGTGATGATGATGATGAAAAACTTCATCCTTCAAGAGTCTGATTTTTTTTCCAAAGGCAGGGTTTTCAGTCCTTTCTGAAAGTCAGGTTTACTTTGGGGTATCTCAGGAGGGGTTACCAAAAACTGAAGGTGCCCATAATCAGTAGTTATTTTGAAAGTGTACAACTTTATTTTACATTATTTGAACCCTAAACTGAACTCCTCATTTTTGCTTCAGGGAAAAGCGCTGCAGCACCCACTGGATCACAGAGAATGCTCACAAGGACCCTCCCACCTGCATCTCAGATCACAGGATTTCAAGATCTGCCCATGGCCATGAGTCTGAGTGTGTGGGTGAAGGTCACTTTCATACCACCACAACCCCAGATCTGCTGCATAAAGGACAATATTCCTGCACTCATAGCAATTACAGCCATCACAAACTGGAGCCAGAAGTCAGAGAGCAAAATCCCACTAGGATGGGGATGGCCAGTACATTTTGCCCAGAAACTTGCCTTCAAATCATCTAAAAAAGAATTTGCCTTTCTCATTGTGACACAAATCGACTCCTAGGGCTATAAAAGTATTTTGAAGTGCTGAACTCCTGTGATAGAACTGGCAAATGTATGGCACATGCCACTCCTGGAAAGTGGAATGTACAGGAATAACTTATTCAGTACAGTGGAATCCATGAAAACTAGGGGCAGGTCTCAGTATGGCTGGGTCCTTGGTCCCCCAGGAGATTAATAAATTAAAACCTTTTCAGCTCAGCTCCTGGAAGTAACAGACTTGAGAAGCACTTCAGTGCTGGACCTTTTCCATCAGCAAAGCTGTTACTTAACCGCAGTGGGTCTTATAAACCACAAAGAATGTTAAATGCATTAATGACTTCGTACTTTGTACTAACGACTGGGCAAATTTAATAGTCAAAAAGCAAACTAAAATCTTTCAGAGCATCTCTCGGTAGCCAAATAATTAATCCTGTATCATGAGAAGACTTGAGTTCAATGTCCTAATACCTTACTGTGTGAGCCGCTGGGAGCCTGAAGAAGACGTGCGGAAAGTGCACCCTTGGCCCTCAGCACCAGCACAGTTGTTCCAATGGCTTGGTAAAGAGCCCTTCTGAGCCAGGCAGAGGCAATGGAACTCCTTGTGCACACACACACGGCAAAGACTTTCTTTCAAGGAAAAAAAGACTGTATTTGGTTTTCCTTTCAGTGAAGCTCAACTTCTTTGCAACACAGAACACATTCAAAGACTTGTCAGAGATAAGGGGATATTAATATTAACACGTGCATCTCTCTTAGACATCAGCTAAAAATTATACATTCACCATCTTGTACCAGATGAAACCTCATTTGTGTGAACCACAAATCACTTCAAGTGCAGTGGGACCTTCTCTCAGTTACTTCATCTTTTAAGCACAACTCACAAAAAACTTCACTTTAAGTAGTATCAACTAAAGTCTTTTCTGACTTCTTTCTTTGGGGACCTGCAGGGTACCAATCATGTCTTAAAAGATGCAGTTGTGGATGTGATTAAAATATCACTACATTTTTCAGCGTAGGGAATCATTAATGCATGTATAATCACAGTTTAAATAGCTGTAAACCAGCTTGTACAAAAAAATACAATCATAGCACCGTATTTACAAATTTAGTACCATCTCCAGGTTAACTAGAGTCTTAAACTATCTTTTTTATGGCTAATTAGGTTATATGTTAGTGCTTGCAAAAAATTGCCTGAATTTCTTTTACAAATATACACTTATAAAAAGAAACATTATCAAAACTGCTGTCATCTAAGGCAGCAACTTGTATTACAAAAAATTATTAAAACATCATTATAGACTTATAAAAGCTTCAAATTTACATTTTCCTTTTCATAGGCACTCTATAAACTAAAACGTGGCCTTGCTTTCACAGCTGTTAGTTTGAGCATTTAAACTTACCATTTACTTAGCATTTAACTTTAAGTTAAATCTTACCGATGTTGCTCTTCCGTTTGAAATATAAGCAAAAGGAAAAAAGAATCACCCATTAACCAGAAGCATCATTTACAGTTTTTACTTTTGCCTACTTTATACACGTTTCGCTTAAAAGTGACACTTTTTGATCTCGAGGTTCAGTGCATGTTATCCCACTGCCTTCTTAGGACTTAGTTTCTTCTTCCCTAGAATTCGGTGGAGGCTAGCTGACATGAAGTAGGGTTTTGCTGTAGATCCATCATTTCTTTCGAGGTCTTCACCTGAATTTACACAGCAAAAGCAGTCAAAAAACCAAACAGCAACACAACCACACACACACAAACAGAACTGAAGGAGACACTAAAAGACCTAACATTAAGAAAAATCTCAATCAATGCAAATAAACTGTATTATTAATTATGCTCTTGATGAAGGACACTCTAAAATTTCTACTTTCTCAAACCACAAGGGGTTTTACATGAAGCAAAGACACAAACATCTAGCTGTTTTTACATGAAAGCAATATATCCTTTTTATTCTCCAGATCTTTGGTTTGGTAGTATAGGTGGAAATTTTCAGAAATTCTCATTCCTCCACTGAAGCCTGCCATTTTGGATATGTCTTGCTAGCAAATTTGTCACAAAGAGAGCTATGGATTTAAAAGTGGACCCTTTTTCACTTCCTAAGATAAAGTTCCTTTGAAAACCTGCTGCCATTATTGCACAGTACTCTGTATGATCTATTGTTCATTACTGAACAGAAGCAGGGGAAGCAGAACAGAATATGAACGTAAAAAAACAAGGCAGACTTATTACTTTTTTTTTCCTACGGAAGGTCATGACTACATCACTGTTCAGGATTCAGCCCAGTTGGTGCCATGCAGCAGTCACAGAGCAGTGACCGGTTACACATCGAAGGCAGTCGGGAGGGAGTGTACAGTGAAGCACAGTCACTGCAACTGCTACTCTGCAAAGGCTGGATCTGCAGAGCCAAAATGAGAGCTCCAATTCTGAGGAGTGGCTAAAGAGGTTAGAGAAGGCAAATCCTAATATATCTCCATGGCAGCATACGCCCTGTGTCTTTGGAATAAACTAGAAGAAAATCTTTTAATTTTTGAGTGCATCAACAAATTTGCTAAATAATTCCATTTCTTTCTAAATAACAAAATAAATAAATACATTTCAATACTGATTTGAATACTAATAAGACTAAGACAAATACGAATACTACTAATAAATAACTATTTATTTATTTATGGGTTAGCTTATTTCTCAGAGGGTTATTAGTGCTATGTCTGCCTGTTTGTATAGAACCAAAGTTCATAACTTGAGATAAATAGGATATAGCTCTCAATTTTCAGTTTTCTAATCAATTTTGTTCCTGTCTTTGGCAACCCAGTTTTTCCAGAATCACTGCTATCCTCAGTTTCCAGGGATGCACGGCTAAAGTGAATGTTTAAAGAATCAGTATTACCATGTTTATCTCAGGTCAGTACTCCACTGTGCATATATATGAAAGATCAAGCCTATGACTATTTCAGCATTCCCTTAGTATTATCAATTTGCCAGCTGCAAGACCAATCACTGCCATGTAACTTCTACATTGACCTATCAGAACTAATTTCATTACAGAAAAATCTAGCACATGGAAGGTATTATATACTAAGGACATCCACTTCTTATAATCATGTCCTAATTTGAGACCAACAGATTTCTTTTGTGATTTTAGTATTCTCTGTCCCTATGACAGTGCCCATGATTGCTTGCCATCAGGGGTTCAAGGGACAAATAGTTTCAAGTGGTATTTTACAGAATTCTTAAGGTGACTCAGCATAATACTTTGTTCAGGGTTATTATGCTGAAAACAAAGTACTATCAATATATCAAAGAATATATTTGTTATTATCAAGAAGTTTAAGTGAATCAATGTTGTTGTGGGCCAGTCTTCGCGAACGAAGACCCGGGGAAGGTCTTTCCACTTTCCAGCCTGCGCACTGGATATTTTTAGGTGAGACACAGTGTGCGCGGAACTGAGCCCACCCTTTAATCCTAAGGTTCATCTGCCGGGGCCAAGCGAGCTTGGACGGTGGCAGCGAGGTCCTCAGGACGTAGATGGATTGCCTTACAGGGCTAATGAGCTCCATCTGCCCGGGGAACGGCCCTGACCGAGAATCGAACCCGGGCCTAGGCAGTGACAGCGCTGCGTCCTTAACCACTAGACCACCAGGGGCTCCCGGGTGAATCAATACTCTACAGGGCTCTTCACAAAGCACCCTGAAGCAAACTTACTGAAATTTAAGGAACATCTGAAAGACAAAAGCCAGATACCCCCATGAACCCTAAAGCTACCTTACATTTTTTTTTAAACTAATTAACTCTGAATACTAAACTACTGAAGAATGCATCAAGGAGCCTATCTGAAAAGAAGAAGCTGCTAATTTTTCAGTTTGCCAGTATGCCAGCAGAATTCTGTATGGAAAGGATAAGGTGGTTTTCTACTCCTCCTTCCATGACTGAAAGAAAAGGTAGTACTTACAGAAGCAGAGGAAAAGCGTGTCAACACACATTGCATAGACACTGAAGAACCCGTGTGCAACTAGGTAGGAGCCAATGATGACTGTCTGAAAAAAAGACAAAAACAACAAACACAATAAATCCCCAAACTTCTTTTGGCGCCAATGTGGCACTATCGACACAAGTCAGACGCCTAGTTTGCTAAGCAAATTTGGGAGAATTTAATGTCAGCTCTGTATTTCTACCAAAGGTTTCTAGAGCTGTGGACAGTGATCACAGGGTCAAGACACTGCATTCTATCATGCAGTAGCCACTCATTTTCCAGCTGCCAAAACAGAATTATTTCAACGTCCAAAGAGAATATATGCCAAGAATATTCTGGACTCATTCAAGAGACACTCATTCTGGAGATGTTCTGGAGTCTAGGGGTGCCCACAAAAGGGGAAGGAGATGCATTGCACATCCCTTCCATTGGCAGCCACACTGCCATCAGTGCCTCACCACCAGCCTTTATTGTCTGTGAAGTCTGAGCAAAGCAGATGTGAAACCTAATTTTTCTGAAGGTGCAGAGTCACTGCACTGCCACTTCTGCCTGAAGGATCCCGAGGACTGCAGTGGAGCAGATCAGTCCTCACCTCAGTGGATACTATGCCACTGAGGGGCTGACCACAGAAGTTGTGATCAGATCATGCCCTGAGCAGTCTGAGCACCCCAAACTGTCCCCAGCGTTCAGAAGATGAGATGGTTGCCTTACCAACAATGGTACCCAGTAGTAATTTAACATTGGCACTTCCTGTGCAAAGATTGGTATTCTCTGTGTGAAGAAAAAGAATGCCAGGACACCTGCAAGAAACACAGGCAATTAGTGACTTCCGTGCTAGCCCTTATTTCCTAACATCTAAAGAATAGACGAGACAGATAACAGATCCAAGGTTGGTTTAAATGAAAGTTTGTAAACAGTAAACTCCTCAATACTGATTATATGACAGAAGAAATATATAAATCAATTAATCACCATAAAGATTTTCATGGATCCAGAAATATTTTAATGAATTGTTCTGTTTCATCATTCTACTGAATTTAATAGCAAAATTAATAAATGATGTAATTCTACAGTAATGACAAAATATTTTAGATGAGTTCTTGGTAGTAGTTTTCGATTTTTGATTAAAATATAATTAATTAGTTATCTTTTAAGGTTTACAGAATGCAAAATACAGTTATTGGTACATTTTTTTTAAAACTGCTGTGACAACTTAAAAAAAAAAAAGAATAGTGCCAACATGAATTTCTGAAATTGTTTCATTTAAAAAACAGGAAAACACTTTTCTGTCACAGAAAACCATGAGTAATCTCTTTTGATATTTAGTGATAACCAAGAAAACCCTGTAAGAATGACAGAAATATTCTATTTCTTTTACTATTTCTCATAGTTTTAATAGCCTAGAATACAGCAGAGCTTCTGGTCCATCTCCTGCAGACCTGAAACACCTCTTGTAGGCATGTTGTCTGCTACCAGGTGAATCTCATTTGTAATTTTGTTCAGTTCTCATGAAAGGAGAACTGACTGTGACTGATTTATTGGGGTGTGAATTTGGTTTGATCCAACTATGATGCCGTGGCTGCACAAGACCTTGCACCAGCCATACACACCAGAGCTGTAAAATCAATTAAGGAAAAGATGCTGTCAAGGCACATCAGGGGCTTGGGTGCATGGAGAAGGGGTTAAAAAAAAAAGAAAAAAAAAATTTAGTTCCATCTTGCAAATTCTAGAAACACGGGAACAGATTTCCAAACACTCAGACTGTTCCAACACTCCAGCTGTTAACTAAGCATATATGATTACAGCAGCCATGCTTGTAGGTACCAGAAAATAGAACACAGAACTCAGAAAAAAATCAATTAGCTTACCTACACCACCAGCAACAAGGATTTTCCCCAGGAATAAAAGGAAGTCTGTAACTTTGTCCAGAACTGCAACCCTGTTCAGCAAAAGATAAATGATACATAATCATCACAGAATAGACATTTGTATTCTTTCTCCTTAAATCTATGGATAATGGCAAAACATGACCAGAAGCTGTCTTCTGCTGATTTCACAGGCTGGCAGCACAACAATACAGTTAAGCTGAGATGACCTTTGTATCATCAACCTCTTCAAACCACTGAGGTCTACGGATATGGTAATATACAGACAGCACTGACTACCGTGAAAAATAATAATTGAGAACTACTAGAGAGACAAATCACCATTAGCATGTCAGAACTCAGATTTAGCAAAATCATCTTCTTTTAAACAACAGAATTAGATGCCTGGCTTTTAGATATCGGTCTTACTGATTAAGAGCAAAATCACAAAGGACAGAGAGGTGATATTCTGTCAGGAAATGAAGGCAGCTTTTCTATTGCACAGGCATTACATGGTGTGGACATCACTGCCCTGATATTAGTGCAGGCTAACACAGTGAAAGTACTCTATTATCCCACCTCCAATCCTTTTTTCTTCTTCCTGAAGCATCATTTCCATCTTCCTCCTTCAGCTTCCCCCTCCATTTCTCTCCTCTTCCCAGTCCTTCACTTTATAATCTAAACCACCTAACCAGTTTTACTGTGTCTCTTTCTTGGTAATTAGATTGTCTGCTATTGCATCAACATGCCTGCTCCTTAGTTATTCTCTCATTGTTTTTTGATCTCACAGTAGTAAAGGAAGAGCCAGGCACAACAAAGGGAAGTACTGATGACAACAAGGAGTTTGGCAGCAGACTTGATAGTGGAGAAAAGGGCAGGAGAGTTCCCAGTACTAGGGGAGACCTGGTTACGTTAAAGATCCTCTTTCTGAAAGCAAAGTATGCCCTCTTCTTTACTTCCACTGTCTGACACCCCCTAAGCTTTCTGAATGAATCTGAAGACGTTAGTCTTTCTGCTTTCCTCTTCCCAGACAGTAAGTTGACCAAAGCTCAAGAAACACATATATGGCAGACGATGAGCATCCCATTCCTGTGTATCCACAGATCTCCTCTCAGGGGCACACTGGTTTCTTGGAGACATTATTACAATCTACTGGGTACTTATGAATTTAAAGGAGCAATCACAACAAACCTGTGAGATTTTATCAACTTTGCACAGGTTGCTGTACAGGCTGGACAGCCTGCTGTTACACACTGAGTAATAGTGAGGACAGAACAGCTCACAGTAGCATTTGGAGGAGACGTATGAGAGGAAAGAAGTGTGTCCTCAGAGTGTAATAGCAGGAACTCCTGACATTTCCAAGGACTGGGAGATGGTCCCTTACCTCACCACATTCCGCATGAGCAAAAAGAATGCCTCCCTTGCCGAGGTGCAGAAGTTTTTACCGTATATGGCAATCTGCAAAATAATAGTACCTATTAGGTATTTAAAATAATTAGAACACCTCCTTGTATGCCATAATCTTCCTGCATGTAATGCATAGTTTTCTCTAATATATGGCCTTCAAACTCAGATGAACATAAAGCACTTCCCCTCATCACCTACTACTTCTCAATGCTTCCCACCAGGCTGGTACAGAGTATTATCCACCTTTCCCCTTCAAATCACCTGGTGATGAGCATGCCACCCCTTGTGATCTTGCAGGCAGTAGACTCAATACTCAGTTTGCCAAGGAGAGCAAAAAAGGTACTCACTGAGGGATTCTTTGCTAGTTACCTACATTAGATTTAGTGGAAGCAATAGGCACTTGTAGAGCTGAAGTGAGCTAACTCCTGTAGGTATTCTCCTTGGACCTGATGCTGCTTTCACTGAAGAAATCAGCATAAAGTAAAGCAGCTAAAGTTATCCAGAAAGAAACACTTCTTCCTGGAATAGTGCCCACAAGGGTAAGATACACTAGATACACTTAGCTCAGACAGTTTATCAACTGTAAAGACTGTCAGAAACAATACTTCCTCTTCAAGATAGCTTTAATTTGAAACATCAATTGCAGAACACAGGTTATAATGGATCCATTACAGCCACCTCCTTTGAGACAAGAAGTCTGTGATCACACCATTCAGTCACTGAAATTGCTTCAAGTCAGAACATCCTAGGCTTAAATCTGTGTATGTTTATTTATGTGAAAATTTCAAACTTCTCTTATCTGGAAGCTAAGAAGGGTTATTTTAGAGAAATATCACTGCTGCTGCTAGTAGAATTTGTGGGTTTAACTTCCAGGTGGAAACAGAGTTATCATATGCCTTCCGATGTCTCTATTCAAACACTGCCTCCAAACAGATGTGTCATCAACATGCAATATGAGAAAAGGTAATACTCCTGTTGAAATCAGTATCCCAATTGCTGAATCAGAGGGGGAGTTAACCAGTTATACTATCCCTTCCCACTTGCTTTGGGGTGGGGGTGATAGACAAAGAGACAGGCATAAAAAGCAGCTGAGATTAGAAGAAAAAATCTTACTTTTTCATGGTAGAAACACATGCATGTCCTGAAAACTCCCATAAATCCCACTATTTATTCAGCAGATTCAAGTACTGCCGACTGTTGACCAACTAGTAGTGGCTAGGGTATTTTAGTGTCCCAGATAGGGGAGACCACATGCAGACATGGCACATACCATGATGTAGGCATTTCTGTTTATAAATTTTAAGAATTTTTCCAAACACCAGAAACAGCACTTGAGGCAGCAGAGTAGAAATCTAGTGAAGGAGTTCTGAGTACCTAAAAAAAAAAGGAGAGAATACATCATACATGGAATTCATGAACCATCTTCAGAATGTAGAAAGCTATTAAAAAAAACCAAAACTTAAATTGTGACAAATGCATAAATGTTATTTCTTTCCTTCTAAGTATGGACTCTCTTTTTCAACCAAATTTATCTCACTAGCTTTCAATTAGATCAGATCCACATCTCACCCGAACTTTACATTACGTTCCAAAGAACATAAACTCAAGTAAATTAGCATAAATTTACTGGTTTCAAATGAAACTACAATGGGTAATGTGGAATTAATCTCTTTTCATTGCTAAGAAACCGCCTGGGAAAGTAAAGAATTAATTTAGCAAAGGAGGTCTTACCAACCTACAGCAGATTCATAAACCTCACCTTTCAGTTTGTGATCCAAGTACTCCAGTATTACTCTAATAAGCTGGACAACTGCAAGAATTAAGGCGCCAAATGCCAGCGAACCTGTGTGGTATCTAAAACAAAATATATGACTGTTACATCACGCACATCTGTATATGTACAATAATACGTGTATGTGCATGTGTATGTATATATAAATAAAACCATAAAATCATAAATGGAGGAAGGTCCATTAGTGGGAATTCCATAAACTAATGGAACTTCATCCTGATCTGCCAAACAGGATTCGGGGTGTGTCTCTACTGGGAGCATCTGCTCAGCCTTAGGTTGAACCTAGAGACAGGGAGCTGCAGCAGCCTTGGGGTGGTACAGGATCCTGGGCTACAGCATTCAGATTTCCCTAACAAGTACATTTTCCAGACTGTACTGGTTTTGGATGGACTGGAGTTAGTTTTCTTCAGAGAATCTTGTGCTGTCCTATATTTTGGATTTGTGACCAAGACAGTGCTGGTAACACAGCCATGTTTTAGCTCCTGCTGAGCAGCACTTGCACAGCACTGAGGGCTGTTCTGCCCCTCACCCTGCCCTGCCAGTGAGCAGGCTGGGGGTGCTCAAGGGGCTGGGAGGGGACATGGCCAGGATGGCTGATCCAAACTGACCCCAGGGGTATCTCACACCATAAGGTACCGTGCTCAGCAGTAATAGCTGGCAGAAGGAGAAGGAAGAGGGAGATGTTTGGAGTTATGGAGTTTGTCTTCCCAAGTCACTGCTATGCATGATGAAGCCCTGCTGTCCTGGGGATGGCTGAATGCCTACCTGCCCACGGGAAATGGGGAATGAATTCCTTGGTTTGCTTTGCTTGTGCATGTGGCCTTCCTCTACCTATTAAACTGTCTTTATCTCAGCCCATGTGTTTTCATACCTTCACCCTGTGGATTCTCTCCCCCATCCCACTGTGCAGAAGTGAGTGAGTAGCTGCAGGAGCTTTTGGCTGCTACTGAGATTAAACCATGATGCTGACTAATCATTTTCATCTGATATTCTAAGACTGGCTTCCACAGATGTACGAACAGCACTTGTTGGATTCATGACCAGGCTCACATCCAGCTCCATTCTTACCGTATTGCTCGTCCAAATGAAGAGAAGAGCGGCCACAGTGGAATATCAGCTGGTTTTCGATAGGCCCAGTAATAAGAGGCAAAGGCACCAGCAAGAGTACACTGACCTAGTGCAATTGCAAAGTTCACCAGCCAGAGAAAGACAAAGGCATTGGCTAACTGGAAGATGAAGATGTACTTATGGTACAGGCTTTCTCCTCCATAAAAAGCAAAAGTACACTGAGCACCCGGGCACAACTTAGTCACATTGGTTGTGTTAAAAGTCTGAGTAGAAAGAAAAATAAACAACACAATCATAAGCAAGGCATACTGTATACACAGATTCTGAAGTTTAGCAGGTTAATTTAAATGACATAATTCTCCTTGATGTTTCATTAGTTCATTAAAAACTGCACTCCAACATTATGTAACCAGTTTACATATTTAAGTATTCACATCAAAGATTTATGAGATGCTTAACTTTACATGTTAGCAAACAGAGTTGTTCACCACACGCCTGATGCATAAATGGAATCTGAATTTCAGGAATCTACTTTTAAGATACATAAACACTTCAGTTTCATTAAAGAAAATCTGTTCACATTCAAAAAAATAATATTTATTTGAAAACTAGAGGCCAAATCTGACATTCAGGCAAATTACCACAGTTGAAAAAAAGCCCACTAAGCTATGCCATTTCATACAACTTGTGGATGTGTTCACAACTTTCCTCATGTATCTTTGAATTTGTAGTCTTTGAATTGAACTGAATTACTTTTCCCTATTTCTATTGTTCATTTCATGTATTGGCTTGGTTTGGGCATGAAATAAAACCAAACCAATTTTAATTATTTTCTTTTGCAGTGTTCAGACATCTGCAGGGTGAGGAATTCTTTGGTACATACATAACCACAGCAGTATACTGAAATTTAATGCAGCAGTTCCTGCCTGTTCCTCTTGTCCCACTGCTGGGCACCCCTGAGCACAGCCTGGTCCATCCTCTGAGCCCTCCCTGCAGACACTGACAGACATGGATAAGATCCCCTCTCACTGTCTCCTCTTGAGGCTGAACAGCCCCAGCTCCCTCAGCCTTTCCTCATAAGGGAGATGCTCCAGTCCCTTCATCATCTCCGCAGCCTCCTCTGGATCCCCTCCAGGAGCTCCATGTTCCCCCTGTCCTGAGGAGCCAAGGACTGGACACAGCACTCCAGATGTGCCTCACGGGGCTGAGCAGTGGGGCAGGATCCCCTCCCTGACCTGCTGCCAATGCTCTTCCTAATGCACTCCAGGATCTCACTTGGCCCCCAGGACACACTGCTGGCTTAGGACCACCAGGTCCTTCTCTGCAGAGCTGCTCTCCAGCCTGTGCTGGCATGTGGGGTTATTCTTCCCCAGGTGCATAACATTTGATAAATATTTCTAGTTTTACAAACATCCTTAAATTCAAACCCAGAGTCAAGTAAAAACTTTTGACTGAAGGCAAAATTTAGATTAAAAAAGACAAACATTTCTGGAGTTTCCTAAAGGTAATTACTGTGCCAAAGGAAGCTAAGCTTCTGCTTCAAATCACAGCTAGTCCTTGGGCAAGTTTGAGGCACAGCTTTCAAACACTACCCCTGCCTTTGGAGCACCACAAAACAGACTCCTCATGAATTCAAGAATACCAATTAACTTGTATTTCTGTGTCTTCCTTTCTCACCCTGTAAATTAGAATGGTTAATATTTACAGGACAATTTAGCAGAAAAACTAGTTTATGTCTGTAAAATTCTTTGAACAAAAAAGCATTATCTGAACACTAGGCAATATTTTCAGATTTAATATGAGGAATCATTACTTGAAATATGCACATCTTCTACTAGCACTGCCTTTAACAGTGATTAAGAAATGCAACTAGTATAGCTCTCAGTATAGGTAAATATTTGTTACACTTACCTCTGGGTCACAAGTCAGGTTTGCATACTTGCACAGTGTTTGATTAGCCATGACTTTATACACAGGTTCTCCTGATGTGGCAAGAAAACTGAATGAAATATTTTAAGGAGGAATCACAGAACTGTAGGTTTTGAGCAACTTAGGGTTCTGCAGTGGGTATAGAGCTCTAAAAAACTTGTGCAGGTAACACAAAAACTTCTCTGGCTATGCAAAGATGTATCTAAGGGTTGACAGACAAGACTGAATACTCTTTTTCCTTAGAGAACTAAGGCAAACTCCACTCCAGAGCTGTAATAACCCCTGACCAGAATGGGCAGAGGGTATAACCTTGAAAGTTATCTTTATCTCTCCTGCATATCTATCTTTGACAAGGCAGACTATGTAGTGGTTCTTTGACAGAGTTTGTATTTTGGTGGAAGTAGATACAGAGCGTAAGGATGAACAACTTTTAGCAGTAAACAATGCCTTGTATGATCCCCCTGCCTTGGCATAAATTTTAGTCCAGTTCTTTTTAATTAGATTAAATGCACTGTCTAATTTGTAAATCACATGCAATTGTGTGGCAAGGAAGACAAATCAGCACATGACGTGCTAAGTGACCAAACAACCCTCTTAACACTGCCTTGATTAACATGAAATAGAGAATTATCTAGTCTTGCAGACCGGAAGACTTGCTCCAGAGAGGTATACAGAAGGATACACAGCTGTAACAGCCCAGTAGGAAATACAAATTGCAATGAGTATGAAGGTGATGATGGGGTAGAACAGTGTAGACATTATATAGCCAATAGCCCTATGAAAGAAACAAAACATATCAATAAGCTATAACAGTTCTAGAAACAAGCTTTTTATCAGTCTTCTAGTAATTTTACTTTGAGATCCTAGTTGACAGTTGTAACAAAATCTAGCATTGGGATCTCAGAATACTGCAGGAACTTTATTCAAATATCTTCAGATCTTGACTTTGTCATTTCTACCACTACACTTTTATCAACAGTACTACAGTGAACTTTATCAATTTGCCATGTTCCAGCCTGTCTTCTCCTTTCTCCTTCTTCATGGCTGCTTCACATATCCATCTCTTTACAGGCCACTGACCAATTTCCATGACATTTCCTTGCTGACTGCTGCAGACATTACCTTTTATGTCCTTATCCCACTCTGCTCATCCTGTGCTCTCCCTTCAGCTCCTACAAACCTGAAATTACCTTGTTCTACTTTGTATCTGACAACTGTTCCCAGCTCCTTTCCTGCCTTAAGTGCTAGCTATTTTCAGGCAGAGACAGTCAACTTGTTTTTGCAATGCCAGGACACACTTAGCTTCCTGTGACTACATGACTTTCCTTGCACGTGCCATAGATGAGTGGCACTCACCTTTGGCTACTGGCAGGCAAGAATAATAATGGCCTTTCACTGCTGACACCATAGAGGTCTTCCTTTAACATCAAGGCTTAAGGATTTTAATGAAGAGGAAATAAAGAGTTTAATTTAGTGCTGCCAAAAGTAATTGCTATACTCTAATTGCACAGCAGCATAAGACAGGAAACAGGTACCTGGCTGAATGCTGAACTTTAGTATTTCTTAATCCTATCACAAAAATCCCTAATCCTGATTCCTGGGAACAACAACGTCAATTGAGATGGTAGAAAACCACAAGGAAGTGTGCTTACAGAAAAACTCAGAGCTAACTCTGTGCTCTAACAACACAGCTCTATTTCCAAGGCCTATGAGATCATAGCCTATGTGCAGAAAAATTATATTACCTGTTCTGTTCAACAAATCCAGTGTTGTATTTTAACCCCTAAATTTCTGCCCTTGGTAGTACAAGATGGAGCTTGAGATGAGTGTCTCCTACAGATCATTTAACAGAATCAAAATATATTAAAATCAGACAAACATACCTACTACCTTCCTTCAGCAGTGCAATAGCAATCCGGATCCGATTTCTTAGGAAGATCAGCATCAGTATGATTATGACTTCAACACCACAAAGTATTATCACTGTAAGCAAACAAACAAAAAACTTAGATTTATCAAGAACCAAACCAACATGTTGCTTCTGTAATTTTTTTCCTTGTATTTTACACTGCTCTTCATGAAGTCCATAAAATTCTCTACTTCAGCAGTTCTCTTTCTCCAACTGCATCTGTCAAACTTCAATCCCACTTTGCACAGTTGTAAGTTCCACTGTAAGGAAGTTCCATATGCAGAGAGCTAGTCAGAACTTGTAGGACCCTGATATTAGCATTTGTATTTTTAAAAGAAAAATGGAACAAATTCTCAAAGATAAAATTTTACTTTAATGTAACTGCAGTATCTAGCTTTAGATACAATTCATTCTTTACAAATTCTACTTTTCATAAACAAGGATTCTGCATGTTCATACGATAACGCTGCTCATTTCTAGCACTGAGATAATAATAAAAAAAAGAGATGAAGAGACAACTTTTTCATGCATCTTGGTATCTTAGAATCACAGAATATGCTGAGTTGGAAGGGACCCATCAGGATCATAAAGTCCAACTCATTAGTTATAAATCACAATTCTGGAGCCCTCAAAGAGGGAGAAAAAACAAACTGGGCACGAAAAATGCCCATCCTTATGCAACTTCACCAGATATAACTTCATTATTGCCTTCTACTTCCCCATAATGAAGACTGAACACACAGGAAGTAGAACGTTAATAATACAAGGATTTTTCATTCGTATCACTATTGTGATTGCATTATCTTCCCTTACAAATATACTAAAAAAAATTTTAAAAAGCACATTTTTACACAATACAAAGAAATGGAATTGTTTTCTTCTCTAAGCAACATGTAGGAGGAGATTTAACAGGGCGGAAACTGCAGCAAGACACTGATTGATTCTCCTGATATACATTAACAGATACCAAATTCAAAGGCCACTTACTAAATGCTAACCATGTTTGCCTCAGTTGCAGGTACACTTTGAAGTCAGTCTGGAATCCAATATCATAAACAGTGAGGTCAGATCCAGGGATTCCTTTAAGATGGTCATATTCCCAGTAACAATGCCAGATGCCTTTTAAAAAACAATCAATACAACATGAGTGTTTCTAAAGAATGCAAAGACAAATTTTAACAAAAATCTTTTACAAGCCAAGTGTTTTGTCTTCAGCCTATCAGGTAAGCAAAACACAAAAATGCATCACTATGAGCCTAGTCACTTATAATATCGGTACAAGTGATGACAGTGTGTGTAGACAAGACATTTTACTACATCTGGTGCTACATATCAGCACAGCTGGATTCTTCCTACATTTTGCTGCCATTTAAGTCCTTTTCACTTCACTTTGTCTCAAAGTGTGCATTAATTCACCCAACTGCACCATTTAATTGATGTAACTACTGATTTTCCTTGCCCAAACTTGAGCAATAAGGAAAGACAGCCTTAGAGGCTAGAAGATTGCACCTACCATAACCTATAATTCCGATCACACCAAAGATGAAAATCCAGAAGAGAACCCCAGCCGTGAACCTCAATAACACAAGGAAGAGCAGACTCAGCATCATTGCAATGAACAGGCCACTAGAAAGAGAAGAAACAAACAGAGGGAAAATGAGCGTGAGAATCTGTTCACCTTCTTGTATGCCTGTTACTCCAAATGAGGGTCACTTCATCTCACACAAGAGAATAATTTGTAAAAATGTATTTCAAGATCTTTGTTGTGAAATACATTCTCATGGCTATTATCTGCTATTACAAACAAACAGCTTATATATGACGATCTCACAGGGCAGAGCCTGACATGTTTGCAGGCACTAGGTTCTCAGACTGGCTGAATGGGACTAACACAAATGCCCTTTTTGTCACTTATACAAGCTGAACAACCCCCTGTCTTTTTCAGGCCACAATCTAATCTACAGTAAAGTTAAATTGGAGGAATACCTATGTAAGGGGAAGTTGCTGATTTATGTCCTCCTTTGAAAATCCCTGCTTGCAAAAAAAAAACCATTAGTAAATAACATTCTAGGAGCTTCCTTAAAAAAAAAAATTAAATTTAGGAGGAAAAACCAGTGACTCTTTCTACTCATCAGAAGAGGAAATGATTAGGGCACTATGATGCATAAAAAGAATTGTTAAGAGCCATCTATGGACCCCCTAAGAAAGACATCTACAGCGTCTTCTCCATCAAGTCTGGGGTAAGGAAGTATTTGTTTTCATTTCACTCCCAGAAAGCAAATCCAAAAGGAAAAAATTATGGCAAAAGGCCTTTTTGCTCAGTGAGGCTTTCTAAATCATTGTGAATAAAGCAACATAAATAATCATCCCATCAATCAAACATGCAGATCAGATGCTTTGCAGAACATCTCATGATTCTCAGTACGTGTTACATCAGAATTTTTATTAGTACAGACTCAAAAAAAAATTGAAAACCTCTTCTTGCTGTGTTCAGTAACTTTTCTTCTGAATATTCCCAGTTTATTCAGCCAACTACAGCTAAAAAATAGGGCAGTTTGATCATAAAGAATCAAAACCAGAGGTTTTGGGCAAACTAAGGCAGACAAGGAGAAGGACAAGATAAAAAAATAACACCAGATCGTTTAGTCAAACCTTTGTAAGCTCATCTTAAGCCCTAGCCCTTTAAAGTCTTCCTAGCTTCATGTATTTGCCCTTTGTGATTGCCTTTCTGAAATTCAGAATGTATTCCTTAAGAAAAGTTGATGTTTTGGAGCTTATGACTCTTTCTTCAAAGCAGTAAATTACCTTTATCTAAAGTCCTCTTACATACATTAGTCCTAGTAACACCAAAACTGAGTACACAATAACAACTGTCTTCAACAGACTGATTTCCTTAAACTGAGGCTTGAAAGTAGCAGTCCTTTGGGGGTATGCTAAAAAGAGGACAGCAACTCCACATTTAACTTTTAATCCAACCTCCCTTCACTTTCAAGCCTTCATTGTCATTGCCCAAGCTCTGACACTTGAACATATTTTTCCAGAAATGGTTTGATATATGCTGTCATTTGGTGAAAAGGGTGAAGTAACTCCTATCCAACTACTTTAAAAGTGGTGACAATTCCCTACAAAAAATGTCATATTTGAAACATGGAAAACTTGCTTCAGTATTTAGAATTTCTGTTAAAAAAAGCTGTCCCTTCTCTCTCTGGCCTATGTGTTCAGTAACATCTCCTTTGAGAGAATCCATACCATAAGCCTGCTTTCAATAAGGGGTAGAGAACCAAGCTTGGTGAATATCTCTGAGTCTCCTGCCACTAATGACTGTGAGCATGGTACCAGACTATGAGAAAGCTGTCCTTCCACCAGTGACTGAAGACCTTTAAAAGTTTAACTGATGTTTCTGAAGTAATTCTCCATATTATTATCTAAAGTATGTATTTATTGTCATGGATTTGTATTCAGGCTTGACCGATGCTTAACATATGCATGTTACAGGCTCTCACCTGGCAATGGCTTCCGTTCCTGTTTAAACTGATCAACACTTTGGTCCATCAAAATCAATATTAATGGGTTAAGAATGCACAAATACTTATGTATTTGCTTCAGCAAAGCAGCTGCTTCTTTTGTTTAAAATTTGTTTTAATTAATTGGTGATTAGTGAGTATTAAGTGCAAGATGAAGTTAATACTGTTCAATACTTTTTGTTCTTGATGTTGCTTTGCCTGCTGCATTGGAGTTATGGACTTATTTAACTATATATTGCTAATACGAATTTAGAAAATATGTGGGTTTCATATATACGTATGTATATATATATACATTAACGACACTTAGCAACTGCAACTAGTTTGAAAGTCACTTAATTCAGATCTTTGAGTTTTGGAATTGCCATGCAGATGGGTCCTGCAAGAGAACACAGCACCTTTTGATTTTCTGTCTGGTAGGACATTAAAAAGCTACTCCAGATCAACTGACGCTCTAGGTATGTATGCTGTACTATCCTTATCTCATGCACAGAACCATAACAATTTTATTATTATTCTGTGATGAAAGGAAATTACTGTTGCTCCTTGAGTTTTAAAGTAGGATTGGTACCAAACACATAAATGATGTATTTTTTTTTTTATTTCCTGCATGCTCCAAAGTGAGTTTGGAAAAATTAAAAATACTCATAAAAATCTTACATTAAAATCCAATACCAAGAAATGGCATAGTCTTCAAAAATTTTCACTCCAACTGATCTTGCATCCAGGACATTATTGATGCCACTGAGAAAAGAAATCAAAGAAAAGGTTGCTTCAGGTAGAAAAGCAGATTTATTTAAACAACAAATAGGCTCAGTGGAAGAATTTGGAATATCTTTGCTAGTGATAAAAGTATATTACGATTTTTCAGTTCCAGTTCTGTCATCAAGCCATCATAGTTACAGCAAAGAAAAAAACTGCATAAGAGTGTCTCTACAATTTGTGGGAAAAAAATTATTAAGAAGGCTTTATCGCCAGAGTGTATACTATTCATATCTGCAATGTAACAATGGCCAAACAGGTGTGACTCTAGGACTGCTAATAGCATAGAACCAGAAAGCAGCTCAGTGAAGTAAAAGGCTGACTTTATGGAACTGTTTTCCTACCCTGCAAAGTGCCTGCCTGTATTACTTTTTTTTCTCAGAATTGTTTTTTCCCAAAAGCAGGAGCACCGTGATGAGGTGAGATGCCCAAAGGATAGCCCATGGTAGTCGGAAGGCCACCACAGAAGAGGATAGCCAAGGCCACCACTGGCTAGCCTGAATCCTGCAGCAGAAGGTTTGCGTCTTGAACCCCATTGAACTTTCCTAGCAAAACTAATTTTTGTTAGGAAAAACAACAAGAAGAATGATTTAACCAAATGAAAACCAGTGAGACAATTAGACTAAAACCTTTTGCTCCATTCTGCACACCACAGTGCTGGATTTCCTTAATTGAACTCTGGAAGTGCTCAGGCACAAAGAGACCACTTACTACCAAGTCTTGCTTGGGTACCCCTTAGCCATTGGCTACAAGAGATTCTGATTATTTTTTAATTCCTAAATTATTGCACAATCTCAGAATCCAACAAATGAACACTGAAGAAGAGTAAAACCTACTTTGCAGCTTCCCTGAGATCAGTTACATTTCTTGTTTTCCCTCTTCCATCTTTGAATGTAGTCTGATTTGCCACGGTCAACACACCATTCTTTGTGGAGAAGTCTGGGAAGCATCTCTTAAGAACTGTTCAAAGTATCAAAACAAAGTATGCATATCACATTTCACGTCAAGCTCCACTTGTATCATTTTTCTTTTGTAGCATATTTAAATAATTTCAGATTTGCAGTCAACTGATTATCTAACAATATGCTGATTTGACATATCTTGGAAGAACCATTAAATTCAAGATTAAGATTTTTATGTTCTGGGGCTTTTTGTCCAAGTTCAGGCAGGGTGGGATCATAGATTTCAACTGGAGATTCTAGGTCCTACCAAACAACAACAGTAGTATATGTAAAAGTTTAAGAATTTGTAATAAATGTGGAACTTACTCTCTGTCAGTATCTGGGCAGCTTACAAAAACTGCAGCTTCTCAAATATGCCATTTCATGGTAATAATCAGACCAGCCCCCAGGGACAGACTCAACTTGACTGGTCACGAATGGTACTAGCACCCAAAACAATACATAACAGCAAGTGTCAGTTCCTCATATGCCAGATGAGTTCCAGTACCAGCCACTATCACTAGATATTCTTGGAGAGGAAGCAATGGAAAAAAGACAGAAACTATTGGTTAGACAGAGGGAGGAGGAGATTATAAAAAAGAGAGAAAAGGAGAGATGTTTGCACACTCATTTATGCTGCCCTGTTTTTTGCTGCAAAAAGTCCTGGGTTTTATTCCAAAGGTCAGTCCTCCTACACAGCTGTACTTTATATAACCATTCGGTGCTTTCCTCATTAGATTCCAATAAATATTGATGCCAGGGTTCAATATTCAGTCTGGTATATCTACCCCAGCAATTATTCTGACTAAATAATTAAGTAACATGTCTCTTTTCCTCCCTCTGTAATCCTTGCCCCTTGCTATAGTCTAAAAGAAGGTAATGCTTTCTTTGCATATTATTTTCTGTCTTTTGGGTCAGTACATCAGTTTTATCACAAATTCTTAGCATTTTTTTAAAATTGAATCCATATTTTCTCTTTTTGATAACTGTCCCCGGCTTACATGATGACCATTTTAAAGTATGGCAAAAATAAACAGCAATTTCTTATTTCCATAAGCTTCTGGGTCAGTATTACACTTCTGCAGCTGAGATGAGCTGGGAGATCTGTGGTTATCTACTCAGAAATGCCTGCTGACCATAGTGACAAAAACATTTTTGACCCCTTAATTTCTCTGTATGCCCTGCATAACCAGCACTGCAGCTAAAAAGAGAGTTGCACTCTAACTGGGCTAAAGTATCATGTGAACTTCAACAGCTGCCCATATGAGCCTTCCCATATTCGTAACATTTTCTTGATGCCAATGGAGTTGCTTCCTCATGTATTTTGGAATGCACAATTTGAGCTGTAAAACTTTTGTTATCAGTGATGATTCAAGAGCAAGAAGGAGCTCAGCTTGACCTGATCACATGCTGAATGCTTCCAGATGACAGTTAGAAGTATTAATAAATACTTATATTTTCAAACTCTTTAGAACTGAATGGATGTGACTGTCAGATAACAGACAGTTCATAGTGACCTTGCCACTGTGAAAAACACTTTTCAAACTGGAGTTGTGCTTTAATGTGAATGCTCACAATCTGCTACGACGTGTGTAAGAAGTAGAACCACTCACAAGGCCTGCTTGGAATGATCATCGAAGGACAATCTTCATCACGTAGGACTTGAGCAACAGACTAAAAAGGGGAAAAACAGGAATGCTGAATACAAAGCAGTATAACTACATGGTTTTCGTTTCTCATCCAGTCTGACAAAACGTCCCAGACTGGGCTTTGCAGCCTCCTCCTCAATCTTGGCTGCTGGAGCTGCAAGATACATTCGTGATCTAAGTGAGAATCTGTCATTGTGATCTGGGAAAAGACTATTCTTCTTTTCTTTTCTAGTGACAAAAAAAAAGAAAAGACTTGTTCACTTTGGATCAGCATCTAAGCCAGAACTGTTCCTTGCCTCTCCTTTACCTTTCCTCTTAAAGAAAAGTAAGAATTTAGCACAAGTAATATAGCTGAATTGCAAGGTGTTTTAAAGACTGGAGAAATAACACAGTAAATTTGAGTGCAAAATCAATAACATGAAGAATAGATTTATTTTCCTAGCTAAATTTCTAAGTAGCTGTAGATGACTTCCAAGCCTTAAGAATTGTTTGAGACACTCTATTCTACTGCTGTGGAGTACCTAGGTACTTACCACAGTACTGCAACTACATGGGTGGCTGCAGATATTCTTTTAAACAAACAGCAACCCTTTAAAGAGTGGGGAATTTAGTGTGCACACAAGACCTTGACCCTGCTTTAAAAAAACTGTCAAATCACATAGATGGGACATGTGTTTATATGGTGACATCAGATAATTCAAGTCATTGATGCAGCTCAGTAAAATCATGCACATTACACTTTGCTTGAAGAAAAAATATATTCCATCACCTACTGATAGATACACACCTTGCGAGGATTGTTAAAGCCAGGTTTGCAGAACTGCTTGAAGTAATTCCACTGATCTGGTCTATATCTGTAGGAAGCCTGAACATCAATGTATGTTGCAAACCTGTCTGGGCACTTTGAAACACAAAGCTGCAAGAAAAGAAAAAAAAATGAGTAAAGATACACTGACAGTAGGGAAGGATGAGGAAAGTCAGAGCAATGGAAAAGCAAGAAGAAGGCCACTGCCTTCAGTATTATTTAGTGCAGGATTTAGAAAGCGACATATGTTGTCTTTTTGATTCCCTAGATGAATACTTCTTTCATAGAACATACTTTCAAAGTCTCTCCTCAAATCGGGCATATCAAGCCCCTCTCTGTACCTTCTTAGGTTTTACACACTCTGGTAGATAAGCAGAGTTTTCAGTCTGTTGAAAAGAGCATTATTAATTTTTTTGAAGAACAAGATAAAACCTGTCAGGTCCTCCTCTACTTCTATCAGCAGCAGTGTATATGAGTGAGGTGCTGTGGCAGCTATTTCAGAGGATACGTGCAATTTCTTTCTATTACATGTATAAGGAAAACTTTATTTTAAAAAAGTCTCACTAAAACTAAAAGTCTCAGGCAATATTGTTCTACCCTTCTATTTAGTCTCTTCGGTCAAATACATCTCTACAAATTTTTTCAAGACAAGATAGGCGTAAATCACTCACAAGTGACTTTTAACTGCTGACCATGGCTGGATCTCCACTAGTTACAAAGTAAGGGGATGCATACGTCAGGAATGAAGTTCACACTTCAGGTACAGCCATTATAAGGTACAGCCATTATAAGCTGGATTTATGTGAGAAATCAAGTGATGACTGGGATTTAATGAATATATCCACTAAGAAGCTGTGATTTAGATTTAGGGCATGGAGAAGTGGCTGCCCCAATACACAGACTTTGAAGGCTCTGCTGGTCACTGGAATCACATAAGTGGACACATGTTCTGACTCCTCAGTGTTAATAGTGCGATGTAAAGTCCATCTTTTCTAGAAGGTAGTTTGTTTCCAAAGTTATCCAAACCCTTTGCAAAGCTCTGCTATCCAATTACCAAAGAGGTATCCTGCACAAAACTGTTTTTCATGTCCAGGGCATTCCACCATATATGATTCACCTAAAGGAACTCTGGGAAAAGATCGTGTACTAATCCTTAGAACAGGCCAGGTGCAGTAAGAGGATCTTTCTAGATGAGTACTACTATCCTATGGACTACCCACAGGCCAAGAAACAAACAAGAGTTTTGTCCTCGCTGGGACAACGGGTGACTAACTAGCACACACTTTACTATATCCTGCCTGCTATCTTTGAAACAGGCAATGAAACGCGCTGCCTGTGTATCCAGTGGACTGTAACAACAGTTTGCAAATCCACAGGCTTGCTCAAAAACTGAAGCTCTTACCCCATGGCAGTTCTTGGGGTTTTTACTCCTGCTAGTTGATATGGATAGGACAGGAATGAAGGACCCTGTCTGCAGTTTGAAAGAGAAATTATCAAATAAACATTTCTTCAACATTTTCCCCAAAGACTGGAATTTAACCATCTGAGTAACAAACAGCATTCAAAAGCATTTTTAGTTTTGGAAATGCTGCATGTTTGAAAATGAAAAAAATAACTACTCCACTCCAACAAACTCTCTTGAAACAAGTATTTCACCTTACTTGATTCATGGCCATTGCCACCTTGACCACAGGACTAGTCAAATCCCACACAATGGCCTCAGTATTACTGAACAGACTGAATCATTCCAATAAGAGAGGTAAACACTACAGTGTTGGTGTCTGCATGTGGACAGGTTCCTGAAGCAAAATCTGCTGCTGATAGAAAAAGGCTTTGTTGTGACAGCAACTGGCCACTGTTAAAGAGGGTTCTTGCTATTCCTTGCTGGAGATTTCCACGTCTTCAGCTGTGTCAAACCGTCCATATAGTCACATTAACTGGTAAGTCAGAAATATCTATCAAGCATAGGGATCAAAGGACAAGCAGGAATGGGAAACATTTTAAAAGCGTAGTCCAATAAGTAGACAATTAACATTTGTAATGAGTAAACTGGTTACTGTGTGACAAACCTCATCCAAGTTAACACTAGACTTCACTGAATGCTGCCAAGAGGAATGAGATCGTGATCTGTCTGTAGATTAACTGCACTTTACTTTGGCAGCAAAGCTGGATCAGAGCAGTCCTGCACCTAATTCCTCTACTTACCCTATGCTGTAAGTTGTTGCCTCTTAAGATAAACTGACATAACTGGTTGTGCAATTATTCGATAAACCAGGTCAGTAAAGTGGTCTTGTAAAAACGATCAGGAGGATAATTTTAACCCTACAAGTTCAATTACTAGGTTTATTTCACAGCTTCATGAGGAGCTGGAGCACAAAGGGCTGGCACATGGCAAGAAAAAGCTTCTAAAATCTTCACTTGTCAAACTGTGACAGGCTTGAACCACACCCAGATACTCCCATCACTGGCAGTATGCACATTGTCTAGCTTTGAAAACCATAGGTATCAATCGATACTTTCTGCATACACTGAATACTATTGGATAGCTGCCTGTGACGAATTCATAAATCACAAATTGCTGTATTCAACTCAACAGACTTTTTTGGTCAACTCTTATCGAAAATACACAATCTTGTACATTTCTACTTAAGTTTTCTGACCATCACAGGCTACAGAGACTGTGTGCTACAAGTCATCTATAAAAAAATCATGTTATATTTTGAAGGACATGAAGAGCACTTTTTAAATCCAAACAAATGTATGCCTAGTTCTTAAGCACCATGACTAAGATGCAGGAAAAATATTTTATCTCTACATTTCACTCACCTGTGTCGTAGGGCACTGTAGGTTTATTAACACTACGGGGCTGGCACATTTCAGAATGTTGAAGTAAAACAAAATGGTCTTGTTCCTAGGGAAGTGGATATAATATAATTAATGTAATAAATATCACTGCTTATACATCCTACAATTTCAAAATTTATAGCATTGATATTTAAATTCTAGAACTGTGAATGGCCATATTGAAAACACAAGGCAAAAAAAAAATCCCACGCAAACCCTGACAGTTCCACATCAAGACATCTCTGAAAACAGAAGTATTTGTTCTAAAGAATTCTAATTTTGAGAAGTTTTTTCCACAGCCAACTTTTAAGCTGAAAGAATTCATGTGTCTGTAGTCCCACCTTGAAAGGTTGAGGCTTCTAAAGTAACCCTGGCAAAAGCACCGTGGTCTCTGTGCTTCCACTGAACATCCTATGAACATATTGCATGCAAATTCACCATCAGAAAATGCTACACTGTAAAAGCTGCCTAATTTTTGTTGATCAGAAGGTGGCACCAAAACCAATCAGAAGGTTTTTATGGATGGAAACCAAAAGCAGTTGGCCAGAAAACAGAATCATAATATCACCTACTAATAACACTGATAAACCCCCCTGATATAAATAGGGGTCAGTCTGAGGGGTTTGCAGCCCAGAACCCAAACACTTGACAGCTACTAGAACTTGGGACCTTGCAGTAGCTGTCACTTCTGTTTGGATTTGGTGAAAACTGAGGACCCCAAGATTTCTTGATTTAAAGACCTGGCTTTTGAAGACAGCAAAATATGCTGTTAACCTTTGCTATGTCAGAAAATTATGAGATAGCTCTAGTGAAGATGATATGGCAGTAGTCCTGCCTTTTTCAAAGCCAGCTAGTCACGCCAGGACTATGCAGAGTCCCTGTAAGAAATAATGGTGCATCTGTCCTGCTATGGCCTATGAAGTTGATCAGAGGGATGAAGCACTTCTCTTAAGAGGAAAGGCTAAGAGAATGGGGATTTCTCAGCCTAGAGAAGAGGGAAGGCTCAGGGGTGACCTGAAAGATGGAAAGAGACTGTTTGCAAGAGCCTGGAGTGACAGGGGAGGGGGGAATGGCTTCAAACTGAAGGAGGGAAGGCTTAGATGAGATATTGGGAAAGAATTCTTCCCTTTGAGGGTGGTCAGGCACTGGCACAGGTTGCCCAGAGAAGCTGTGGCTGCCCCACAGGGACTTTGGAAAACCATAGTTCTGAGTCAGTCTTTTATGCTGCTTAGTTTTAGGGAATCTGAAAAACAACAGTATTGATGAAAGCCTGACAAGCACATCCCACACCTCCACTTTTGGGGACCAGAGGTCCTCCTTCAGAAGGGTGTCCTGGCCTATTGCCATAAACACTCTTGCTTTTCCAGTAGGTTGTATTGTGTGTCTTCTGGCTTATATTTTTATAAGAAACTCCTCAATGTATGAAATTACTGCCAAAATGCGGTCTCAGTAGCTTTATTATTCTCCAGCAATCATATATATGGAGGGACATTTGTTAACACAAACCAGAAATCACATAGTAAGAAATAACGAAAGGGAACACTTAAGTAACAAAGAGAAAGAGGGAATGGGAGAGAATAATAAGAATCAGAGAGAAGCACCTGGCACCACTTCACACAGTGTATGGAAGCCGTGTGTCTGAGACTCCCAAAGCCATTTGCTTGCTGCTTTCTACAGACCACAGAGGGGACAAGGACAAATTGGGGGTGGACGAGGGAACAGAGAAGGGGTGCAGTAAGGGGAACACACACAACACTACAACTTTTTCTCCTTGTTTTTCGTCTTCAGGAAGTTGGACTCTCCAACAATTGCTGTAAAGAATCTAATTCAGAGGGTGGAAAACATCTTACACTACCTAGTCTGTTTCCTCTGTGAAAAAAACCTGAGAGAATATATACTACTGCTCTCCCCTCCTTCTGAATTGCCCTTTGGACAGTGGCTTCCTCATTTTTTTCCACAGAAAACTAAATGGGGAAAGAAAGAAGCAGCAAAGAGTTGTTATCAAATCCTAGTATAGCATCCAGATACATATATAAATATCTATATCTATCCAGTGACAAGGGCATAAAGAGTGCCTAATGTGTGCTTTTTAAAAAGGAGAAGTGAAGGAAAAAGCAAATTGTTAAAAATTCTATTTCATAAACCATTTAGATTTTCAGAGAAAACGTTGATGCGACATCTTTCTTCCCTGAGTGGTTGTTTTCATATAGAAGTACTCTGTTGATATCAACTAATTAATTTAACTCTTACTACTTAAAATTTAGGAAGACTGGAACACAGACATGAGTAAATAGAGCCAAAGGGGTTTCTATTTACCCAAGGAGGTTGTGGGTACAGCTGTCAGTCTCCCAGACCACTCTGTCTTCTCTCTACTGGCACTGGATAAGCACCAAAAAAAAGCCTTTTCATTACAGTCTTTTCTGTTATTTGGTGCGTGTTGAGAAAAACTCAAACTTTGGCAGAAGTTGTGCCAGCTAGTCACTTTGTATGGAGCTGCTAATGCAATCTCTAAGTTATATTGATGCTTTACCAAAAATATTCTCAGAATGATACAAAAAGCTGTATGACAGTAAAAATTTGGGTCTGGATTTGCACTGGGCAACTAATATATTTCTGAACTTTATTTGGAACAAATACAGTAAGAGTGTCATTGTCTCTTTGACAGAGGGATTTGAAACCTCACATCTTATTCACAGTGCACAAGTAATAAAGGTACGTGAACGGATTTAGTACTCACTCATTGAGGGTTTCTTTCTGACCACAGAACTGCCCATAGCTGTCAGTTGGATAAATCACTTTCCTGGGGTCACCGTGCACCCAAGCTGCAAAACATACACATATCTCTTAACATTTGAGTCAAGAGTACACAGTTAACAGTTAAAACTAGATAGCATGAAAATGTATCACTCCTAAAGTACCATTTTACTCTTTGTTGATCACCACTGAAGAGTACTGATTAGTTTATTTCCTAACGAAAAACAAAAATGTAAAGCACACTAAACTGAACCAAGATATGGATGAATCAGTAAGAAAGAAAGCCACTTCACTTCTTACCTTCAGGGAATATATATCTGGGTGGTATCCAACATATGTAATGATGTAATGGACTTATAAAATAATGGTAATTACAAGAGGAAAGAATAGGAGCTAACTGTGTAGACAAACCTGAGTGTTCACAATGATGATGGCACTGAAGGGAACCTTCCACTACACCAAGTTGCTCCAAGCCCTGTCCAACTTGGCTTTGAACACCTCCAGGGATGGGGCAGCCACAGCTTCTCTGGGCAACCTGTGCCACTGCCCCACACTCACAGGGAAGAATCACACCTAACCACTATCACACCTAACCCTTCCCTGTCAGTTTAGAAGCTATGCCCCCTTGTCCTGTCACTCCATGTCCTTGTTCAAAGACCTTCTCCAGCTCTCTTGGAGCCCCTTCAGGCACTGGAAGGAACTCCTAAAGTTCCCCTGGAGCCTTCCCTTGCCAGGCTGAACACCCCCAGCTCTCCAAGCCTGTCTCCAGAGCAAAAGTCCTCCAGTCCTTGGAGCATATCCATAGTCTTCTCTGGACTCACTTCAGCAGGTCCACATCCTTCTGATGTTGGGGGCCCCAGAGGTGGCAGCACTGCTGGTGAGGTCTCACCTGAGCAGAACAGAGGGGCACAATCCCTCCCTCACCTGCTGGCCACACTTCTTTTGACATAGTCCAGGATATGGTTGGCTTTCTGGACTGCAAAGGCACATTGCTGGCTCATGTCCAACCTCTCATCAACCAGAACTCCCAAGTCCTTCTCCTCAGGGCTGCTCTCAATCCAAACTGTTTACTTCTAGCTTTTACTGTCTGATTAATGACAAATGAAATTTTCCACTACACTTACTTTATCAAGCCATGGTATTTTTTTGAACACATTCAATTTTGAGTTTTTTTATCAGAACACACATGGCTTTGAACTTCAGCCTAATTACCTGCTGGAAAGCAGCTCTTCAAAGAAGGACCCAGGGGTTCTGGTGGACAACGAACTGTCCCTGAGCCAGCAGTGTGTCCTGGGGGCCAAAAAGGCCAGTGGGATCCAGGAGTGCACCAGCAAGAGCATTGCCAGGTCAGGGAGGGGATCCTGCCCCACTGCTCAGCCCCGTGAGGCACATCTGGAGTGCTGTGTCCAGTCCTTGGCTCCTCAGGACAGGGGGAACATGGAGCTCCTGGAGGGGATCCAGAGGAGGCTGCGGAGATGATGAAGGGACTGGAGCATCTCCCTTACGAGGAAAGGCTGAAGGAGCTGGGGCTGTTCAGCCTCGAGAAGAGACAGTGAGAGGGGATCTTATCCATGTCTGTCAGTGTCTGCAGGGATGAGTCAGAGGATGGACCAGGCTGTGCTTGGGGGTGCCAAGCACAAGAGGAACAGGCACAAGAGGAACAGGCAGGAACTGATGCCCAGGAAGTTCCACCTGGACATGAGGAAGAACTTCTTTGCTGTGCAGTGACTGAGCACTGGGACGGATTGCCCAGAGTGGAGTGGAGCCTCCTCACTGGAGATATTCCAGAACCTTCTGGACACAATCCTGTGCCATGCGCTCTGGGTTGACCCTGCTGGAGCAGGGAGGTGGGACCAGGTGAGACACTGTGATCCCTTCCAGCCTGACCCATTCTGGGATTCTGTGAATTGCAATGTTAATTCATTATTTGCTTCTGTGAAAGACATTACTTATTGATCGGAAAGCTTTACATAAATATAAGCAAAAGGACATTTCAGTTAAAAATTCTAACATTCACAAAGCTGCTTCCCCCCTGTAAAGAAAAGCACTATGATACCTGTGTTTACTTACCCACAACTCCTAATGCGATGTAACCCAGAATGACAACTATGAAGATCACACAGCAAATAACATCTGTACAGTGCCTAGGGGCAAAAACAAACACTTTCTAAAATTAGGCATTTAATAAGATCCTTTGAAAACACTGATGTCACAGGGTACTTTAACATCTGAATAAGCTGTCCACACCAGCACTTAGCAGAAGTCGTACTCACTAAGTCACATTTGAGGTGTGAGGTCCTGTTTTTGCAGCAAGACCAGCAAATAAATGCACATGCCTTTCTCATGGTAGACAGCAGTAAGAACAGATTCAAGTATTGTTAAAACAAATAATACTTTACAACACTGAACCCATGAGATTGGTTATCCTGGTTTATCCTACTACAGGACATCTGCCTCAAAACACACCAGTTGTAGCATCTTCTATTCTTGCTGTTTTCTAATCTATGTTTCCTCTTCCAAAAAATCACTATGTTTTAACATAAAGGAGATAAAAGGGCAGATTTTTTAAACAGTTGAAGAACTTGAAATGCATTTCAAGTGTGGATAGGAATGAAAAATCCTGTACAGCTCTCTAGAGAGTCACAGCTTTATCATCTCACTGAAATAAACTTTTAGTGAGGCCAAAGGGGTACAGGACTCAAGGCCAATATGAGAGTAACAAAAGAAAGAACAACTGCTCAAAGTACAAGGAGTGATGCTAAAAGAAATCCTTTTCCCATCCTCCATTCAGAAACTGTTCTAACACTGCTCAAGTTTGGCTTTCATCCCACTGGAGCCATTTTTAAGGGTACAATATTTAATTCAAGAGTCTCCGGAGAAATATGGCATAAATACTTTAATTACAACTCCTATATTCTTAAAAACGTCTTCCAGTTCAATTCTCACAGGTCTCATTTTCTGATACCTAAATGCAATTAAAGGTTATACCCATTTGTGTTAAAAGGTTCCTTTTAAAGTTTTGCAGGGCTACAAGTACCCAGAAATGCTTTACCAGAATGCAGGATTTTATCTTCTTTGTAACACACAAATTTCTGTGCAATACCTAGAAAAACTCACTGCTGCCAAATACTATGCTTATATAACTATTAAGGAAAAAAAAAGTACATACATTTTTTTTGTGTGGCTTCAGAAAATTTTGAAACAGTTCATAAAGACTTATTGTTGTTTATACAAAATAACTGCTTATTTTACTAGATATTATGGGTGAAGCCCTGGCTCCATTTAACATCACTGTTAGCTCATGTAGCTCACTGCCAGTGAGATCATACTAGTAACTCATAAATACAAGGCTCCACAGGAGAAGAAAAAAGGTAAAGCTTCTTAAATGACTAAATTAAAATAAATTTGTAAAGACACATGTTTATAGGGTGAAGACTATAGGAGTTTCCAAAGTTGCAGGAACTGGTATGATGGGAAATGCCTCTTCCTTAACAGGAGATTTGAAAGCCCATGCTTATTACTGAAACCTAATCAGAAATTATCCAGCCTTTTTTTTTTGCTTTCCACCATCTCTCAGAAACAAACTGGCTTCTTGGTTTCTCTTGCTGTGTTACATGTGGCAGTGCATGCAAAGAATACCTTGTGCATGTCTAACGGCATCCTAGCAAATATATGAATGCAAAGATAAAATCATCTGTAGAGTATTAATGCATAAAAGCCATTTATTCACTGACATCTCATGCACTTAAACATTAATGTCTGACTAGCACAAGACAAATTATTTTATCATCAAAAAGCAAAGACAGGTGTTTCCCCACCCACACTGTACACAGAGTTATGCCAGTTATGGCAAGGTGTACAAACAGTCATGTCCCCATTCACACATTGATTACTTGCCCTCATTTGTCTTGAAAAGAGTGCATGCTGTAAGTTCCTAGAATCTCTTCTCCTACAGGCAAGTGGGAAGCCCCAAAATCAGAAACAAATTCAGAGATGATTCCCATTTTCCTCCTTTTGAATTCCTTTGAAGTATCTTCTTAGAAGGCATTTTGTTCATAGGAACAAGATAGTCTTTATTTGCTCGAGTGTGATTTCCTAATCATTTAATCTTAGTAATTGGAAAAAATTAATTAAGAAAACTCCATTCATTGTATTTAAGAAAAATCAATAGTGATCTTAAACTACTTCAAGGCCATGTCTATAGTGTACTGCACAGTGCTGCACTGATCACCTTTAGAGGTCAGGCAAGTCATTTGCGTATCTTGCAGAAATGGGATATTGAATCTAAACACAAGTGCACCTCATTGCATGTATGTTCAGTAAGCATCAATGTACCTATCACTTTCTTATGGTCTGCTGCACAATGATTCCACACTCTTAACACTTAGGGAACTGATCTTTTCTATATTGTTTCCAACAATGCTATCTCACCAAAGTGTTATAAAATGCACTGAACATGTGGTGGTATAGTGTTGCATTGGTTGGGTTTTTAAGCAGACACTGTGGAATGTACAATTAGAACAGTACATAAATATCTCTGGAACTGCAGAAGCTGTCACTGTACAGAAACAACTACACAGATGTAACAGCAACCACAGTGCAAACCCAGTTTTTACTGACTACAATACACAGTAACAGTACAAACAAGGGAAGTTCCCTGCCATACCATCACCAGTTTCAGCACTCCTCGTGCACGTGAAAGGCACAGTAACAGACTGCTCAAAAAATACTACCAAGTATTCCAAGTTCCAACTCTGCAGTCCACAGAACCCTAGGTAGTCTCACTCACTTGAGACACTCCTCATGCACACAAAAACTGGTCACTCAAGTAAGGGTTTCAGGGCTGAGTGGCAGCAGTGACAGCACAGTGACAGCACAGTGACACATCACTGACAGCACTTCACTGCTGTCACTGCTCAATCACCACTGATTTCCTGCCAGGGATTTTCCTGCTGGCCAGCCACAGTACAAATGTCATGGCACACAACCAGGCCATTCTCTGGAGAGAACTGTCACCTGGTGAGGTGACTATGGGAGCAGGAAAACCAGCTGCAAAGGGAAGAATAGAGTGTAACAGAGTCTAGTCCTGTGCTGTCTGGAAACAAGATGGTCTGCATCACATGGTTGTGGCACCCTAAAACATAACAGCACCTGAAATGGTCCTACTTATACCAACACATGGTAGGAAAGCAGGTACTAGTCAATGCAAGGCACACAGAACTGAAAGAACTTTAGAGCACACAGTTTAATATTCCCCAGTAATCGTGCATTCTCAAGGGGAGTAAAGACGGTCTCCCAGATTTAGAAGACCTGCAGAATCAAATTCAGAAGTTTTGTAAACAAAATTTTTTATCCACTCTTCACTGCAAACCAAAAGATTGTAACAAAATGAGCTACAATATTTACCTGTTATGAATAGGTCCTCTGAACTTCGGGTCAAATTTCCTTGGTTCACCTGCATTTAAAATAAAACAGTATAAAATCATGCCTTTATTTAAAAAAAAAAAATTTGTTCAGAGAGGGTCCTTTGAAAAACATCTTCCATATGCTCCTATTTAATCAGGGGTTTTTTTTCTAGGTTCAGTAATTACAGAGGTTTACTGAACCAAACTTCATGCAAGGAAAAATTACTTCATTCAAATGTCAATGCTGCAACACAAATTACTGTTTCGGAGTGCTTTTTCATTGCCTTTTTAAGGATCTCCTCTTCTGAATATACCTGGTATTAAAGGGTGTCACCAGCCTCACCCATAGAAAAATACCTATTTTCTAAGAGAAGAATTCAGCAGCTTCTCAAAGGCAGAATTTACTTATTAACTAAATGCCAGACTTTGTTCTTGGTTTGTATCAGAAAAACCTTATCAAAATCCACACAGACCAGTACAATAAACACAGCAAATAATAATTCTATTTGCCCTTCATCTGAGGTGTTCAGGTCCACCTTAACAAACTCCTACAGCAAATATATTTTAACACAGAAGAGACAGAGAAAACTAAAACTTTAGAGAAGTGATGTATGACAGTAACACTGGGGAGTGGAAGAAGTAATGCTGTGACACAGGTACCAAAATGGTCCAGGAAGCAAGTGTGCCATACACAGTACATAGTGCTGGGCCAACACCCATATATTGAAAAACCTTTTTGAACAGGAATTTCTACAAAACAAACGTTTCTACAAGTGATTTATCTCCAGAACAAATCAGAGTCTGTAACATCACTCCTGATGGACAGGTGGAGTGAGCCTCTGTTCACTGCTCATACAGGACACCCAAGTTTAGCACATAAGAACAGTCACACCAGATCACCAAAAAAAAAAAAAATTATCCACTGAACCCATATTCTGTATCCTACAAGGGGCCATATCCAAGGAGACATTGCGGTATTTCCCTAAAACTCAAGATTACAGAGATTTGCAGCTTCACTTTTCTTAACTAAAGGTAGTGACTTTGTATTTAATAGCTGTCAGTGAATTTCTTTCTCATTCGTTTCATAAATCTCTATTTAACCTTCATATACTTTAACAATCTGCAATGCCCTATATCACAGAGTACTACAGGTTAATGAAGCATTGAAGTACTACCTCCTTTTGTCTGTTTTAAGCTTGCAATCAGTCATACTATAACTGTACTGTATAACGTGGCACCATGGCATGCTACTAATAATTTTACAAGTTATTATATTCTTCTTTACTTGTCTATCTTCAAATGTCCCAGTCCGTTCAAATGTTTCTTGAACACAAGCCATTTCATAGTTTTGGTCACACTTATACTTCCTTTCTGTACCTTTTACAGTGCTACTATAGATCACTAAAACAGGAAGGGCCAGAACTGCACAGGATATTCACCACCAATATTGGCTGTGATTTATACAATCCTATAATGACTCTTTCTATCTGACCTCAGTCCATTTCTAACAATTCATTCTTACAGTCTATTTGCTTCTCAGGGCAAACATTTTCACTGAGTCATCCATTAAGACTCCAAGTTCTCACTCTCAAATATCAGTAGTTAGCTCAATCCCACTACTGGATCCTCCAAAGCTATTCAATGTTTTCCTCAAAAATTTGAACAAAGAAGTAGAATGAACACTTTGAAACTATGCAGGTGACAAGTGTTAAAATACTTCTGGAGACAGAATCAAGTAGATTTTCATAAACAACAAGTAAGAAAAAATTCACAGTAATTTTTTTAAACTAACAAGAGTTATAAAGACAAACTCCATTCAGAAATCCATACAGAATAATTGCTTTGAAAAACAGTGTTGAGAAGAATACTAAAGGATTACAGCATACTACAAACAGAGAATGAGTCAGTCAGGCTATGTCTGCAAAAAAGCACCATTTCTTCAAGAAGTGTGAGCATGACTCATGAAGTCACTGTTCCTTGTGCCTGGGGACACGTGAGGCCTCAGATGAACAACTATTTCTAGCTCATGGACCTAGAATGTCAGAAGGCACAAACAAACTGGAGAGAGTAGAGGGACTGCTTAAAGAGAAGAAACTAAGAGGTTTTCAGAAAAGCAGTAAGTGCCAACTTCGATGTCTGTGATTAAGTGAAGGAGCACAAAATAACAGTCTCCAAACACCATACAAAATTGACAGTGAGCAATTGCTCTCAGCTTCCTCTATGAGACAGAGAAGCTAACTTCATTTACAGCAAAGATGGCTTAGATTAGGCATTATGGAATCTTTCAGGACACAATTATACACTGAAATATACACTGGAATTTTCATCATCCTATGCTTTTAAGAATAAATTAGACAAATACCTCTTGGGAAGAGAACAGGAAAATGTACCATGCCTCAGCATAGAGACAATCAAATGGATCTAATAGGTAGGAGGATAAAAACAAAGCACTCCAGAAAGGGCAGTCTGATTAAAATGGAGACTTTCACCTCCAACAAGCAAGAAGAGGGATGCTGGGAGATAGTAACAGCCACAAACAGCTTGTAAAATTATTGCAGCACTGCAAACTTCTTCCAAGAACTGCTTCTCACACCAGCAGTCTCTATGCTCACAGTGGCATGGTGCGGTGTAACACAGCTCAAACTGCTTTCTTTGTCACTGAGTTCTTGGTATAAATCCATCACAGGATATGGGAGGAAAAGGTAACAACATTATAAATTAGAAATATACAAAAATTCATTGTCAGAAGTAGTAGATAGCATCCCTGGAACATTAATTACCAAAACATGACACAGCTGATCACAACTGTAATTATTTTCACAGAACAACAGAAGAAAAATGCTGTTTGTTTCATCTCATGTTTTTAAATTAAATATCAAATTCCCTACTTATTTACTACTATTTTTAAAAAATTCAGAAAATTCTTTGGGTTGATGTGGAAATTATTTATGCTCCTAGTATCCATACAGGTCCTGGTAAAAGCAAATCACTGCCCTTTCTAGAAAAGCCCAAGTGTATTTAGAAAGCAAATTCCAAGCTTTAGGAGTTTGGTAGGCATAAGGAAGAAAGCAGTGGTTAGGGATGATTGACACTTTTTTTGCTAAGATTAAAAACTGGGATTGTATTCATTCTTTGCAGCTGAGGCAGATCTATTTCACAGGCTGCTTTATAATAGGAAACTTCTGTGTGTTGAAGTATGTCATTACGAGAAATAGCTCACAAGATATTTCATTTAACAACTCCGACTCCAAACAGTATCTGAAGTTAATCTTTACATTTCATCGCTGTAGTAATTTGAAAAAGCAAGTCTAAATTACTCACCTAAAATAAAAATTTACTGTATATACATGTAAAATTTACCTTTGATGTGCAATTTAAATAAACTAGCATATGTCATGCCAGAAAAAATTTGAATATTGCTAATAATTGAAGAAGTTGTAGAAAACCATTTTGAGTCTGGGTCTAAGCCCATTAAAGTCAACTGAAATAACACAGTTGAAATACGGGAGATTTAGATCAGGCGCTTTGAATGGTCATAAGAAAGCAAGTAAATTACCATGTTTTCCATAGTAGTTTTCTTCATCTCTGTCCATGGCACTGTACCTGGATCACTTGAGCAAGTGTGAGATATTGACCGTGGACTCCTGTGTTGCTAGCACAATTTCCCCAGCAAGCACAGATTCACAAAAAATACTATTTAAATAGATTTAAAAATAAAGCTGATTGTCACGGACTTCTCCAATCACAACAGAAATTCACAAAGTAGGCAGGTCTTTCTGTGAATAGAAAGTTATCACTTAGTGCCTTTCCCACCTCCTGAAGCCAGTCTGATAGCCAGTCTGAACAGAGAGGAATGACTTATCAGCTTGTGTTACCCTACACTATTAACTTAACATATAAGCAAAAAGGGAAACATCTGCACCTGAACACCATTTGTAAAATAAACATATGGAAGCCAGTATAACAAAAAAAAAATCCTGATGATTTGCTGAGAATAAGGTATTCACACTGTTGGTTATATTTTTGTAGCATTATTTTCTTAATAAAACGTACTTTTTGTACTTCTTCATAGCACAAAAGTGCAGAACAGAAGAGTCAGCACTAGAAAGTCTCAGCATTGTTACTTTAGATACTGTAATGCCTATATAGTGAAATGAAATACAAGGCTTTATAGACAGCATGTCAGTCCAAAAGCCTGAGGCAACCTCTCCTTTCAAGCCACACAGGAACAGAATCTCCGTGTGGTGATTGTGACCAGAATGAAATTTCCATTCTCTGTGGAATATGATTAAAACACCAATTGTAGAGTTCTGTAATGAGAAACATGTACACTTGTATATGCATTCCTACAATAATTTACAAGACAAGGCTGAACTACATGCTGGAACAACAAAAATAAAATTTTTAAGTCAGCCCTATCACTGTATAGTACACATGGACACAGAAGAATAATTTCATATTACAGTTCACCAATGATGCCTGTGATAAGTGTGTCACAGCCCATTATGTTATTACAGAACTTAGCAGCAATGTTCTAAAGCTTACTGAAGGAGCTATTTAGTATAATCTGTATCAGTAAATGAATGTAAAAGTAATATGATGAGATGTAGATTGATCTCCTGCAAAATATTAACCACTGACTGAACTCTCATACTTAACTACCTCCCAAGATTTCCCGTCACCCTTAGGCAAATACATTAAAAAAAAATAAAGTAAAAAAAAAAAAGATATGCAGAGAAGCCAAGTGACTGATTTACTGTGGTCCTACTCCAGTTTTCACCTCTGTCAAAGGCTGCTTTGGTAAATCTCAATACATAAAGTACAAAACCAGAAGGCAGTGAACAAACGGTGCTAAAATGAGATTCTCACTAACTAATATGCATTTGGTCACCATATACTACCCAACTCTAATAAAATGCTAATTCCAGTATGAGAACTATTAGTTTCTTCAAGTTTCTTCCTTGGTGTTTGGTCAACAATGACACGTGCCTGTGACTAGAAAAGGTGCGGCTTTTCAAGACAACAGAATTTTTATTAGCAAGGCATTGGA